CTGGGTTCAAAGATAATTCATGGTTTGTCAGCAATTCATGTTTAACTGACTCTCCTGTAATTTTGTTTGCTAAGTCTTGTAGCCTTAGCCTAGGGTAGAGAGGGCTAGAGCCACAGGGCCCAGCCATCTTGCGTCTAAGACAAGTACAGCCAATTAAACAGTGTGCTTGGGGGTCCTGTTCACCCAAGAGAGCAGCTAACATGGCTGCTCCTCCTCTGGCCCACTGTGGCTTATCCTCACTCACGTCTGACCACCTGTAACAGACAGCTAGCCTTTCCTATCCCTCAGGGGTCTGTGCCCATGATGTAATGACATCATTCCTGTAAAGCACCCAGTGCACTGGCTGGCACCCACTAAGTGCCCAGGAGGTAGGAGACATGATAATTTCTTCTCTTCTTCCCCTCCCACAGTCATCGTTATGTGGTGCTAAGCACAGTGGAACCACAGCTCTGGATACCCTGGAATATGCTCACCTGGCAGGTGAATTCTGACTGCCTCCTCCAATCTAAGTCTTTGTGACTTTGGGCAAGTTCTTCTCCTTTTCTTTGCTTCCGTGTCTGTGTCTGTGAGATGAGCAGCTGGAGGGGAAGCCACTAACACCCTTTCATAGCCTGTCAATCTTAGGTGTCCATTTGAAATAAAGAACGGAGGCCACTGACTGGTGAAGAGCGTGTGACCGCAGCCACGTGGTCCCCCACTCAGGGCAGTTCCTCCTTGACCCCTGACTGTTAGCTCTAGGTCTGAGGGAGTGAGATGGTGTCAAGTGCCTTACCTGGCTGACCTCAGTGGGGAAAAGTCCATGGAGGATCCAAGGTCGTGGTGAAGTCTGTGGTCTTTCGTCTTGTTGAGCCACCTCTGATCTATTCCATACTATTCTGTAGTCTTTGGGAGGAGGGGAACTTGGTGAAGCTGGACCCAGGTGTGTCCCAGCCTCTCTCTGCCTCCCCTGGCCTCTGTTGTCCTTATGCAGTGGCCAGAGGTTATGTGTTCATCTCTTTGAATGTTGAGTCTTTTCAGCCCTTCAGAGGTCAGGGCTGCCTGGCATCAAGGCAGAGGTGTTGTCTTTCTTCCTTCTGGGCCCTGGACTGGCCCTATTGCTCCCTTTTCTGTCCAGTTGTGCCAAGCCCCCTCTTGTCCTCTCTTGGTCTGTGATTGGCTCAAGAGAGGAGTATGGGCTGGCAGGCACCCTACACAGAGCCTGGAGGCAGTATCCAGGCCTGGCTGGCCCATCCCAGGGCCCCCTGCCCACTGCCCCTTGCCAACCTGGTCCCCTTCTACCTGAGTAGAACTGATCCTCTATGATGTTCATGTTGCCATGGCAATCCTAGGTGAGAAGGCCAGAGCATTCTGTATCTGGGAACATCTACCTATCTGCCTGCTCCCAGACATGGGTGTTTGAGTTCACAGCTGTGCTGTGGTCAAAGTCTCTTCTGTGTATCCCCCATTCCTTAAGCCTCCCTTCAACCCCAAAAGAGATCTCTGTAGAGGTCTGGTGGGGACTGGAAAGGGCCCAGGATCCAAAGTCAGAAGACTGAGATTTTGGTCTCAAGTCATTGATAACTGTGACCTTGGCCAAAGTGTCCTATGTAAACTGTGGATAAAAATGTTATACTCAACTGTCCTTTGGTAATGCCTCTGTGACCTTCCATGGGCTGTTTCTCTGCATTCTTCCTAGTTTAGAGTACTCTTATTCATACTTCAAGTCCCAACTCCAGTTCTCCCTTGAACTTGGTGCATTTGGCAGAGATCTTAGGCCTTGTTATTCTGTGTTAGAGCTATTTAAGTGTTTTCCTTGGACTGAATTCTTGGAGGCAGGAGTCAGAACAACCTCTGGTTCGGTATCAGGAATGTTTTGTTGAATGATTGTACTTTGTGGAATGGGAAACAAAAGAGGGTAACCCTACTGGGTTGGTCACCATTCTTTCAGGGGTCAGTCTGGGCCCTTATCTGGGCATGGCTTGGGCCAATCCATGCTTAAGGTGACTTTACTGTGTGCCTGAGCTTATACTGGGAACATTTATTTTCATGGCAGAGACCTTGTGGGAAAAAGCATGACTTGGGCCTGAATGTCCCTGCACCAGGGTGGGATCATGAGCAGCTGTACTCATGGGAGTCTCTGGGAGACATCTTGGGGCAACTGAGAGGGATAGGGAGACTGGAGCAGCACTGCCAGGTGGTCTGGAGGAATTTCTGGTCTAAAGCCAAGGAACCTGGGTCCAGGGGAAAAGGAATGACTCCAATGTGCTCCAGTTCTCCTTCGTAGCTCTATGGCTGCTGATCAGGGTCAGGCTGATGACGGGTGAGGAGCCTTCCAATACCAGCATTGACCCTGGCCAACCAGTCAGGCTTTCCTGGCAAGAGCCTGCTAGTCAAGGGCGCCCTCCAGTGGCCAAGATAGGGGAGGCAGGAACCTGTTTGCACAAAGGCAGCATTTTCCTATATTCTTTAATACAGAGTGAGCCTGATTCTATGCTTCTTATTAAGTATATGCTTTTAATCATCTAGTAGGTGGAAAGCTCTCTCCTGTGTGTCAGTGAATGTGTTGGGAATGAAGAGTGAAAACAAGACAGGGAAACAGTGCCTTTCAACAGTGATTCTCAGCCTAGGCTGTATATTAGGATCACTTAAAAAAAACAACAAAAACACCTGAACCAGGTGTTAGGAATGCATATGTGTGTGGAGGGAGGTGGGTCAGGCACCAAAGGCTTGCAAATGTCACCAGCAAAAGCTGAGAACCACTGATTTGGAAAGCTAACAAGTGTTCTATCCACCGTTTTCACCTGGTTGTCTTGGCAGACATTACTGTCCCATGTCACAGATGAAGACACAGAGGCTGGAGCCAATCATCTCCCTTCCCTGTTCACCTAAGGACAGTGGTGGTGCGGTGGGGAGGCACAAATACCCCCACGCTGCTGTCCCTGATCTCCACGGCAACAACAGTTTTATTGTTTGCTGTGATTAGAAAAGTAGCCAAGGTCATTGTGAAACAGTTTTGCTTTTCTGGACAGAGAATTTAAAGGCAAAAGTGATGTGTGAAAAAAGTCACCTGCGAGTTCAGCATTGTGAAGACTTGGGGGTATGGCTGCAAGGGGAAAGGGAGGGCAGGGATTTATTTTCAGGTTCAGGATCATTGTAATAATGGCTTCTGAACTGTGGTCCTAAGACCATTCACATCATAATCCCCTGCAGTGTCTCCAAGGACACAGACTCAGATGGTGCAGAAGCTGCATGTTTAGAAAGCATTCTGGGCCATTCTTACAGCCACTAGAGACCAAGAACCACTGCTGCTTGGAGCTCTGCTCTTTGCAATTAACAATGTTACCAGGCTGGCATTGGTAGACACCCAACACTACCAGAGCCTTAGAAGAGGCCTCAGAAGGGACCAATGTATTAAAATGTAGCAAATCAGCTGCTGAGATTCTAACCAGCTGCCCCCAGGGATCTGAGCCATTTTGCACAGCATAAACACTAGGGCTTCCACATCATCTCCCTCCAGGCTGGGCCCCACACCTGGCCACCTACCACCCTTCTTCTCCCCTAGTTCTGGTGCGCCTATTAACAGGCCCCACCAACCAATCACAGCCAGAACAACCTATGATGTCACCAGCAGCCAATCAGAGCTTCCTCACCAACATATGCAGAATTCTGTCACTCTTACTGAGGTGATGAAATTCCAAAGGAACACCATCCTTTTCAGACAGGAAAACTGAGGTAAAAGAGGAGCAGAGCCCACTCAGGGTCGGCATGCTGGTCACCACAGAGTGGGGACTAGAAAGAAGCCAGGACTTCCGATTGTAGCCAGTGTTCTTTCCATGGCCAATAAGGCTGTTGAAGGCCCCCCAGGGCCTGGACAGAGGCTTCTCCTCCCTGAATAGCTCCTGGTATGAGAGATGAGGCTCAGTGCTACTCCCTACTCTCCCTGCAAGACCTCAGGGCAGCAGATCTCTCAACCTCTGGATCTTAATTTTAAGGTCATGGTAGAGGAGTGTTGCTCCAGATTCTAGCTGGTCTTAGCTGGACACTCCCAGGAAAGAATTAGAGGGGCCTTGGCCAGGCTGTGCTGGTTGCTGCTTCTGAGCAGATTATGAAGAGGGACCCACACAAGGACTCCCTTGTCCAGGCCTGTGCTTATGGAGTCAGGTGACTGCTCAGTACACATGTACGTGGGCAGTACCAGCCTCAAAGTGTGGGCAGGGACATTGGCCACAGGGTCTCAGAAAGCCCCACCAGCCCAGTGGCCAGTCCTTTTGTGCGATCTCCTGGCCAGCTTGGAGTCCCACCTGTGAGTAGGGGGTGCTGGGGTAGCAGGGGTGGGGGCTTTGAATGCCTTTAGGGATAGATGACTGCCTGTGTGTGTGTATGATGTGTACATGTAGGTAGCACACGTGTAAGTGTATGACTCTTGTAGGTCTCTGCAAAGGTCCTGTGGCAGGAACGCTTTGTGGCATCAAAACAAGTGAGGGAGGGGAAGGATCGGTGATGGCTACAGTATGTTTTGTTGAGCATCTGCTATCAGAACACACTAGGAGGAGGAAGCAAGCTGTAAGCCACAGATATCCTATATGACTGTTTGGGAATATGTGCTGCATAGGACAATCAAGCAAGCTGGGACAATGGGACCCTGTTTCCAGGCATCCTTTCTAATGAGGTACCCTGGAGTGGGAATGAGTCATGCAGTTATTTCAGGAAGATCGTCCCTCAGCAGCTGAATCAGCAGGTAGAAAGGTCCTGGGGTCACCATTCAGTAAACATTATTGGAACATCTCCTCCAGCTCCTTTGTGCTGGGAATGAGGACACGTGGTGGACAGGGTTGACTGTCTTACTTCAGGGTGGTTGAGGGAGCTTGAGCAGCTAATGAACCAGACTGGCTCAGAACACTGCCTGGCTCAGAGGACCTGAACTCAGTGTGTGGATGCTGTTGCTGCTACCGCCCTGGTCCTCTGATCCCTACTCATGTCACTCTCTGCCTGCCTGTCCACTAGGACCCCAGTACTGGGCCATGACCATCACTTACACAAACCAGGTGGCTAACGCCCGCTTGGGCTCTTTCTCACGCCTGCTGCTGTGCTGGCGAGGCAGCATCTACAAGCTGCTCTACGGCGAGTTCCTTATCTTCCTGCTCTGCTACTACACCATCCGCTTCGTCTATAGGTACAGGTGGCAGAGACAGGGCCAGCCTGGGGCTTTTGGAGCTGCTGGGAGATGCGGGGGGGGGGGGGGGGGGGGGGGGGAGGTGGTTCCCAGCCATCTTGGAGGCCAACTATAAGGCTGAGCTGAGCTGAGCTCCGGCCAGACCCCAGGGGCTGGGGAAAGAAAAGAAATCAGATTGAGGCCTGGGGGTATAGCTCAGTGATAGGTCGTTTGCCTAGAAGGTGCAATGCCCTGAGTTTGGATCCTCAGCAACCCCCCCCCCAAAAAAAATATCAGATTGGGAAGACAGCTCAACCCAGGCCCGAAGACCTAAGGCACTCTGCTCCAATCCAGGGAGGGGCCCAGAACCCAGGCCTGAGCTGCTCCCACTGAACAGGCCTGTTACTGAATCCCACACAGGCTCTCAGGCTCAGATTGCACATTTTAAATATATATACACATATATATGAAAATATTTATCTAAATGATAAAATGTAGGACAGATATAATCACAGAGTATTTGATAGTATTTTAAGTTGAGAAAGCTTTAATTAAAATGGATTGAAAAATATAAAATTTTTCAATTTTTTTTGTGGTATGGGGTTAGAATTCAAGGCCTCATTGCTAGGAAAAAGCTAAAATTCTTGAGTTTATACTAATAACACAGAACATTAGTCTTCTCTGCTACTTTTTTTTGTGGAATGGGGGGGTTGAACCCAGGGCTTCATGCTTGCAAAGCAGGCACTCTACTGCTTGAGCCACACCTCTGGTCCATTTTGGTCTGTTTATTTTTTGGAGATGGGGGGTCTCATGAACTATTTGCCCAGGCTGGCCTCAAACCTCGATTCTCTTAATCTCAGCCTTCCAAGTGGTTAGAATTACAGGCATGAGCCACCAGTCCTTTTTATTAAAAGTTTTATTTTAGAGTTTATTGTTTTTAGAGCAATTTTAGGTTCACAGCAAAATTAATACAGCGAGTTCTCATATGTGCCGATCCCACAGCTCCACACTAGCTACAGTGAACTTACACTGACACATTCACAGTTTACATTAGGATTCACTCTTGGTGTTGTACGTTCTACCGGACTGGACGAGTATCTTCTGCATCCACCATTATAGCATCACACAGTATTATAAGGCAGTAGTTTATTGCCCTAAAATCCTCAGGGCTCCACCTACCCATCCCTCTCCACCACACATTTTTAAAAGACCAAATACCGTTTGTTTCAACCTGCTTTTAAACAAACGCTTATAAGGGTCGTTGGTGCCCCAAAGTGACTCCTCCACAGGTCTTTCCTTCCTACCCCTCAGCAAGTGGCCAGCATGAGGAATCTCGCAGGTCTCCTCTAGCTTGTCTAGGTTTTATCCTGGCTCAGGCGAGATGGGCTCTGGGCTAGGCCAGTAGAAGGGACAGGAAGACATGGGACAGCATGTAGGCAGCCCTGCTCCTACCTTAGGCTGAGTGAGACATGCCATCTCCTATAGTGTCCAGCCATCTCCACTGTCCCCTCTACGTCGCCCCCCACCCCGCAGGCTGGCCCTCACCGAGGAACAGCAGCTGTTATTTGAGAAGCTGGCTCTGTATTGCGACAGCTACATTCAGCTCATCCCCGTTTCCTTCGTGCTGGGTGAGCGCTCCCTGCCGGCTGCCTGGGGTCCCGAGGCCGCTGCCGACGTTAGGCAGACCCAGGGTGAACCACCAGGGGACAGGAGCGGGAGGGAGGCAGGCCAGTGGTGGGGATGCCTCTGTGTACTTTAGGTGAAAGTGCAGACTGCAGCCAGAGACTAAAGTTAGATATTTGGAAGGACATCCTGCTGTTGGCACTCTAGACCCGGCTTTCTGAGGGAGGAGCTAATAGTGTCCTGGATCCTCTTTACAGTAGAGGAGGGGGTCAGGGGGATTTCTGGGATCCCAGAGACAAGAGTATTTCGCGTTTCCATGGGTGGTTCTGACTGCCTTCCCATCCCGAGAGCCTTCCAGGAAGGCTGCATCAGAAAGATGGGGAAACTGAGGCCTCACTACCCATCGCTGGTCTCTGGCCACAGCCCAAATCCTCATCCCTTGTGCCCAGGTTTCTATGTGACGCTGGTCGTGACCCGCTGGTGGAACCAGTACGAGAACGTGCCATGGCTCGATCGTCTCATGAGCCAGGTGTCAGGCTTCGTGGAGGGCAAGGACGAGCATGGCCGGCTGCTGCGGCGCACACTCATCCGCTATGCCAACCTAGGCAACGTGCTCATCCTTCGCAGCGTCAGCACTGCGGTCTACAAGCGCTTTCCCAGCCTCCAGCACCTGGTGCAAGCAGGTGGGCGGGGCCTGGAGTGGGAGGGGCCAGGGCCGCCAGCGTTGGGTGGGGGCGGGGCCAGAAACTGAGAGGGCGTGCAGGAGCTGGCGATGGGTGGAGCCAGAATCCCCTGGACTGGAGGACTTGACTGGTGTGTGGGGCCAAGATGGGCGGGGGTGGGGTGGAGGGGAGGGGGCAGAATCGGGCACTTGAAGGTAGGGAGAGGACAGAACAAACTGAGGACAGGGGTTTGAGGCAGTGTCAAGGACCTTCCAGGGATAAGGGCTTGGGAAGTGATGAGGTACTCTGTTCTACAGTTTCCAGTTTGGCATTCTGCCACAGGTCTCTGGCCTCCCTCTTGGCCTTGACTGACCGTGACTTTGGACAATAACACAGATCTTCCCACGTGTTCATCCCAGAACAGCACACAGCAGGCGCCCAGTAAATTTATTTGTTGAAAGAAAGAGGATGGCAAAAGAGTGTCAAGGTCCTTAGGGGCTCAGTAGGGCCTGGCTTGGTCACCCTGTGCCGGTCACTTCGTCTGCAAGTTCTCCCACGTTCTTCACTTTACCCTGCAGGCTTCATGACTCCTGCAGAATACAAGCAGTTGGAGAAGTTGAGCCTACCGCACAACATGTTCTGGGTGCCCTGGGTGTGGTTTGCCAACCTGTCAACGAAGGCCTGGATCAAAGGTCGGATTCGGGACCCTATCCTGCTCCAGAGCCTGCTGAATGTGAGCCACTATACAGATGGGGTGGGGTGCAGTGGGGAGGTCATGGCCCGGGAGAACAAGGTTTTCTACAAGGAGAGTACTGCAGTCCCTGCGGTTCTTCCCAAAGGCTGTGGTGGCGCTGCAGGGTCTGTTAACAGGATTGCACAGCCCAAGGTGGCTCCAGATGCTCCTGGTGATGAAGTCCTGGTTGCTTTTTGCTAGATAAGGAGACAGGAACAGAGAGGTCTGGTGAGCTGCTTATGACCACCAAGTCAAGGCTGGTCCATAAACAACAGGTGTGAGTCTAGAGGAGCAGGTGGTGTCAGACCCCATCTTTCCTTACTGTTTTCCAGGAGATGAGTGCCTTGCGAACTCAGTGTGGACACCTGTATGCTTATGACTGGATCAGTATCCCATTGGTATACACGCAGGTGAGGACTGGCTGCTGAGGCTGTCCCTTTGGGAAACAGAGGCTAGGAAAACCCAGGAAGCCGATTCACCTAGAGACTGAGAAACCAATCTCACCCTGGGAGTTGGACCTTGACTTTGAAGGCTCTGTCTAGTGCCAAGTTTAGGGTATACATGCTCCTGCCTTGTCCAGCCCAGTAGAGGCGGTGTTATTGTTCGTCTTAAATATTGATCTCACACAGAGATCAAGTGTGAGCAAGGCCTCAGACTCCCATCCTTGAGTTTCCTGATTCCAGGGTCTCTGCTGGCTTCTTTCTGCTGTCACCTTCTTCTTTTTTTCCCCTCCCAGGTGGTGACCGTGGCAGTGTACAGCTTCTTCCTGGCTTGCCTGGTTGGGCGGCAGTTTCTGAATCCAGCTAAGGCTTACCCAGGCCACCAGATGGACCTTGTTGTGCCTGTCTACACATTCCTGCAGTTCTTTTTCTACATGGGCTGGCTGAAGGTGAGCCTTTCCAGGACCCACTGAGCTGTGGGCATGGCCAGAAGCATCATGGCCAGCACTGCCTGGAATGAAGATGGACAGCCAGGAAAGGAGAGTTTCAAATGTGGAGAGCACACTGCTGGGCCCATCTCACAGCCCTTCGGTCTGTGTGCTCCCTACATTTTTATATATAAGAAAGCTGAGACCCCAACAGCAGAGGGACCCACTTGAAGCCTGTGACTGAGTCCAGGGCTTTGTGCAAGGCCAAGACCTTAGCAGATGTGAAGACACAGGGAGCTCAGCGATCCTTCCCCAGGAGAGTGTTCTTCAAATGTTTGTCCAGAACAAGGGGAATTCATGGGATAAAAGTTGCTGTGGCAGACCCTGTTGGTAAGGCAATCTCCCATCATCAGTCAGCTGTCTAATCTGTTCCTTCTACTTGTTAAAACAAAAACGCTGAGGTTAGCCTAATGTGGTGGTTCAAGCCTGCAATTCCAGCACTGGGAGGCTGAAGTGGGAGGACAGAGTTTGAGGCCAGCCTGAGCTACATAGTGAGATTTTGTATTAAGAAACAGACAAACAAACAAAGAAAGCAAGTCTGAGGTTGGCTACCCCTCTGTCCTTAACAAGGCAGGTTGGTACCAACTTTCCTTACTCATTCGCACTCCAAGTGGCTTCATCCAATACTCCTAATGGGAGTCCTGAATAGCAATTTTTTCCCTACTTCTTTGCTTTTCCTTCCTTTTCCTACCCATTCACCCTCTTTTTCTATTATTTATTTATTTATTTTTGGTAATGATGGTGGGTCTCTCTTCCTCCCTTCTTCCCTCCCTTTCTCTGTCTCTGTCTGTCTCTCTTACACACACACACACACACACACACACACACACACGCAGTGCTTTTTGTCCTATATCTTCTCCCTATTACCTATGGTCTCTAAAGATCCAACCAGATCATACCAATTTCATGCCTAAAAATTGTGCAAGGTGCCCCAGCGGTTTGCAAGATGTCCCCTGAAACTTCAGGCAGCTCATCACCTCTGTGGGACTTTATGTGTATTTGAGAGATTGGTATCTAGGAAACTGCCCACCTGGACCACTTTTTAGTTGAGAACAGCTTCAGCATATATCTCTGTTGCTTTAGAAAATAGTAAGTGAATGTTTGAATCAGTAAATGAATGAGTATATAAAATTATGCAACTCCAGGTAAGATATGTGGGGTGAGATTAGGATGGTGACTCAGCTGAGTGATACATGCAGGGACAGGTATGGTATTTGGGGAGGGACTGCTTCAGGAAAGTCAGAGGGGTTCACTGGCCAGAAGGGCAGGAGCATCTGTGTGGGTACCCCATGTGTGGGTGGCTGAAGCCCTACACTGTGGCTTTGAAGACAGCTGTCAGGCAGGAAGGGCATCATGGGGGTGTAGAAATGGCAAGATCCAAGGTTTAAGAGCTCAGAGGAGTTCTACCTGAAAGTTTCCAGAGCTTCATCTGTTCCCAAGGTGGCAGAGCAGCTCATCAACCCCTTTGGAGAGGATGATGATGATTTTGAAACCAATTGGATCATCGACAGGAACTTGCAGGTATGGAAGAGGGAGGGAAGCTGCACCACAGAGCTTCCGAAGCTGGACCATAGAAGAGGGATCCTGCAGTTCTGTAGGAGGCCTGATAGTGAATTGTCTTCCCCCTCCCCCAACTCCAACCCTTTTAACAGCCAACCATTCACTCACAGGATTCTCACCTCACCTTTTTTTGTGTGTGTGTGGTAGTGGGGGTTGAATAAAGGGCTTCACTCTTGCTAGGTAGGCACTCTAACACTTGGGTCACACCTCCAGCTCACCTCAATTTTTGAGGCTGTATCAGTTTCTTCATTTCACAGGTAGGAAAACTGAGGTCCACAGAGAACAAAGTGACTTTGCTAAGTCATCAGGTAAGTTCATGGTCCTGCCTAAGCTGACCTTTCTGTTAGATTTCCCTTCTCTGTCCTTGGTGGCCAGGTGTCCCTGTTGTCTGTGGATGAGATGCACCAAGATCTGCCTCCCATGGAACGAGACATGTACTGGAATGAGACAGAACCTCATCCTCCCTACACAGCTGCTTCTGCCCAGAGCCATCGACCTTCCTTTCTGGGCTCCACCTTCAACATCAGGTTGGCACTACCAGGGAACTGCACCCTTAAGTGCAGGGCTTGCCTAACAACATAGAACAGCACTTGTTAATACATATTTGGTGCCTAATAAGGGCAGGGCAGTGCACTATGCTTTTCATAGACATAACTTTTCTTTCCTCCCAATAACCCTGGTTTGTTATCCCCAGTCTTCAGACGATTAAGTACAAGATCAGGGAGGTTAACTAAGTTGCCCAGTCCAAAGTCACATAGCTAACAAAGGGCACATCTGAGCCAGGTATGTCTGCTTCTTCTTCCTCAGTCTCAGTCCTCTCTGTGGTGTGTGCAAGGACTCCTTAGACTAGAAAGGTTGTTAGGCCCCACCAGTCTCAACTCTCCTTCCTGGTCTAGAGTTGGAACCCGAGACCCAGAGAGAAAAGGGACTCAAGAGCAGTCAGTGACCAGTGAATAGTGGGAGATTAGGACCTGCTTCCTAACTCTGACCAGATTCCAGGATGTTTTGAAAGTGGGGTTCCCTGGGATAGGGGAGGGGCAGCAAATGTGTCTTGGCAGGAGGTGGGGCCATTATAGTACCTCCATACCTCCAGAATAGACTTTGTCCTACAAAGTAAAGGCCTCAGGCCACTTGCAACCGTCAAATTTTCCTCTGCCTGGTTCTACTTCTGATTCCATCCAAATCCCTCCCAGATGCAGTGGGCCAAGGGCCATCCTAGATAGTCCTGTGTCCTCAGGATGACTAAGCTGAGAGGGTTTTGGAGAGTGTATGGCTCATCAGGGTCCATACTCAAAATCCTCTTGCACAGTGTATAGCGCTCTTTTTGAAGAAACAAATGGCTTAGGAAACTGAAATTAGGATTTACTAGAGTCCATAATTAGTGTGAGGAAGGATTGGAAAAGTGATACAGTGAAGGCTGGCAGCTTACTTAGGTCAGAAACATTTCTGTATGTTTCTGGGCCCTATAGTCTGAACCTCAGTATTTGAAGGTTGGGGTGGAGAGGTAGGTAACAGAGTAACATGTAAACTTTGCCTCCAAGGACTATGCAAATTAGTGAGGGAGCTCAAACCTAAGGTCCAAATTGGGTACGTGGCACAAAGAAATGAATGCCTAAGCCTGGCACCAGTGGCTCAAACCTGTAATCCTAGCTACTGAGGAGGCAGAGATCAGGATTGAGGTTTGAAGCCGCCTGGGCAAATAGTTCTTGAGACCCTATATCAAAAAACCCATCACAACAAAGGGCTGTGGAGTGGCTTAAGGTGTAGGCCCTGGTTCAAGCCCCAGAACTGCAAAAAAAAAAAAGAAAGAAAGAAAACAGTGAATGCCTAGGAAACACACAGGACAGAGAACAGAGGTTGCCTTTGGCTGCCTGAGAGGCAGCCTCCTTGAGTCTGGAGCTAGGCCTTGGATCATGGGGAGAATTTAAACATAGGAATGACAGGCCACACTCTGGGGTAAGCTTTTTCTTGCAGAGTAAAGGTCCCCAGGAAGTCTGCTGCTAGGAAGCCAAATGTCTTTCTTGGTGGTTGTCGCTCTCCAGTTGGAACCATAAATCCCTTGTCTTGTTCAAGGGATTGTCACTCTTTATCTGAATCAACCATACCGGGGACCTGCAGAGTCCACTGCCGGGGGTGAGAGGTTTTAGCAGGAGGAAGAGGAAGCCCTTAAATGCCAGGTTAAGGGCCGGATGTAAATAGTAGGCAAGAGGGAGCCAAAACAGTGAGATGAGCTGGGCACCTTGAGGAACTTACTGGGAGGTGCAGGACAGTTGGGAGAGAGGGCACATACTTTGGGAAGAAGGCTGGCAGCCTTGGTTCTGGCCAGGTGAGGGACATGCAGGGGGTGGTAGTGAGGGAGAAGTAAGGTCAGGTTTTAATCCTTGTCTACCCACTCAATCCTGAGCATCCTGCTTCTTTCCAGTCTGCAGAAAGAAGAGATGGAGTTTCAGCCAAATCAGGAGGAGGAGGAATACACTCACACTGACATCATTGGCCGCTTTCTAGGGCTGCAATCCCATGACCACCATCCTCTCAGGATAGACTCCAAGACCAAACTACTAAGGTCCAAGAAAGAATTGTACTTTGAGGGACAGCCCATGAACACCAAGCAGAATCCTAGGGGCCAGGAAGACAGTAAGGTCTGGAAACTTAAGGGGGTAGAAGCCTTCAAGGCTGCACAACTATATGAGAGACCAGGCTACCACAGTGCCCCACAGACGCCCCTCAGCCACACTCCCATGATTTTTCCCCCAGAGCAGTCAGCACCCTCAAGGCTTCACGATGTTCCAGGCACAGACACCGAAGACAAAAGCATAAAGCCTACGACTTCTGGGGTTAACAGTTTTGAAGTGCTCCCAGGTGAGGGAGCCTCCATGGAACACCTAGAAGTAGGTCATGTGAGAAGGAAAACTGTGGAATTTAACCTGAGAAATATGCCAGAGATTCCCAAAGATCATTTCAGAGAATCACATATGGAACAATCGCCAAGAAATAGACCCACTATACTCAAAGATCATGCAGATCCCTACTGGGCTTTGGAAAACAGGTTTGTCCACCCAAACCAGGGTCATTCCATTTCCTTGTGTGACCCCTTTCCTGCCCCATCTTCCTTTGCTCTGAGCCTACCCTTCCTCCACAATTTCCCATGGTTCAATTACTGCCAGTGCATGCGGGGGCGGGGGGGGGGGGGGGGGGAGGGGGAGGGGAGATCTACATCCCACACTGGCTAGAGGTGTGCATCAGATACCTCAACAGGGGCCCCAGGCAGTGCTAGGAGCTTTTGTTTACTTCACCCAAGATACAGACATCACCAGACTTCCCTGGGATCCACAGAAGGAAGAAGTTGCTCAAAGAATGCGAGGGGCTGCTTGAAGTCTAGCAGACCAGATTTAGATGGGCCAATGTTATCACTGGTCCAGGTTACTTTGTACAGGAGGGGCTGACACAAAACCAGGTAGAATTTGGTCTCTAGGCTGTAGTCCAAAAACTGGACTCACTGCCTAGTCAACTAGGTGATGGCAAGTCAACACTCACCCAGAGCCCTTCATGGTAGAACCGAAGCACTCCAGGAAAGGGTGGCAGGTGCTGCCTCACCCCTAGGAACTGGCAGGTGGCGAGGTTCCCTTGGGGATATCAACAAAACACCTACCAACTTCATGCTTCTTTAAGCCTAAAGCTGTCACAAACCAAGATACTTCCCTTTGTTCTAGATTTCTCATTTTTGCCCCATTACAAACATCCTAGTGCATTCCAATCACAAAATGGGGAGTAAGTATAACTTTATTTATACATTCTGTTTCTTTTGTGGTCTGAACATCTAACTTACGTGACTGAGAACTAAAAAGGACAATGATTTCAGTCCTACTTTTAGTTCAGACACTTCTGATTTATATAGGGAGACCTGCCTCAACTTTTGCCCTTGGGCTAAAAAATTTAGTCTTGAAGCACTTCCCTTTCTCGTGCTATTAACTCTCTCAAATCCTCCACAGGGATGAAGCTTGTGCCTAAGCTGAGGGGTGCTTCACTGCCTGGTTCTCGCCTGCCTGTATGCCAGTGGTACACTGCCTACACTGGAGAGTACGTTCAACAGTCTGAATTAAACGGTCGGCTTAATGAATAACAAAAATAAGTAGTCCAGGACTACTTCCGCCTTCACATGCCTTTTTATACAAAAAATTATGTAAGCTAGAATGAACCACTGTAAACATGTTCACATAGAACACCTAGTTCAGAATGAATGGTTCTGTCTGAATTTAACACAACCGTTTGTTGGTTTCTTTCCCAAACAAGAGTTTAATGAACAGAAGTATCTCTCAGGTATTTCACTGTGATTAATGTGAATGATACTGAATTGCAGCACAGAATTTGGCAGATGGCTAAGACAGATTTCTGACTCATCCCACAATCTCAAAGACAATAGCTGGGTACCAAATATCTTTATTTGAAGGAATGGTACAAATTAAAGAACTTAAATGGATTTTTGGTACAACTTATAGAGAAGGTAAAAGTAACCCCACAATATGCATGCACTGCCTTGGTGACCAGAAGTCACTCCATGGCTTTGGGGAAGTCAGCCTAAGGCTTAGCTCTGGTTATCACCATCTCCCAGGGTGTGCTTGTCAAAGAGATATTCTGCCATTCCAGTTTCAGGGGCTCCCATCTTGCGCAAGTTGGTAACATGGTCACCCAATTCTTTGATGGATTTCACCTGCTCGTTCAGGTAATGAGTCTCGATGAAGTCACACAACTAGAAAAAAGAACAGGGAAGAAAGTTATTGGTCAGCTTTCCCAACCCCTAGGGCAAAGGATTTCCTTACCCCCTACGTTTCCAATACTTACGTGGGGGTCATTTTTATCAGTGGCCAGTTTGTGCAGTTCCAGTAGTGACTGATTCACACTTTTTTCCAATTGCAATGCACACTCCATTGCATTCAGTCCACTCTCCCAGTCATCACGGTCTGGTTTCTGAATGAGAGGTTAAGTCTATTTATATGCAGTCTATCAATTAACACCAGAGTCAGCAAGCACCTAACATCTAAACATGCTTTAGCAAAAGGGAGGTCTAAATTTTCCGACAGCAGCTTTCACTTCAACATGCTTGTCCATTACTGTTTGCAGGTACAATGGCAAAAAGCCCAGTGTGTCATTATCTAAGTAAGGATCACTGCTAGTCTGTAAGACATCCCAGGTATCTTTTGCTCACCTTGATATCCTGCAGGAAGATTCTGCCGCCTCGTTGGTTCTGCAGCTTCATCAGTTTCTCAGCGTGCTCCCTCTCCTCATGAGATTGGTGAAGAAAATATTTGGCAAAGTTCTTCAACGCCACATCATCCCGGTCAAAGTAGTAAGACTGAAAGTGGAACATGAACATGTTATGTTGAGGAACCTCCAGGAAGGCAGCTGTAACGGACTGTGGGTAGTAAGGGTTGCTTGCTACTCTAGCCTGTCTTTCTAAAAGCACAGTAAGGGGTCAGTGCCTAAAGAGATTGGGGACATAACGTGTTACTGGATGAAACTCAACAGTAGTTTACTTCCATTCTGAAACAGAAATTTGAACTTGATCCTTAAAGGTTATTACTTGGAACCTTTAGAGTACCATGGGAATTTCCACTAGCAGAGTGCCATACAGATTATATTAGTTCAGAGGAAATTTCTTAAGCCAGGGCCAAGTTTGACTGCCTGAAGGGAAGGTGTTGCATTGTTTAGTCTTGTTTTACTTCTCCTCCACGATATCATATTAAAACAAGCTCATGAGCTCGCCATCTGTACATACAATAGAATGGCTGATTTATAAGACTGATCCATCATGTCAAGTGACAATTGAGGACAATGCTAGTGTAAACCTATTACTAGGAGAAAGCAAAAATACGATTTTCAGCTTTAGATACTCGTTGTATTTGGGACTGTGAGGGAACGACAATCACAGAAACCAGGGCTTGTTTCAAATCCATTTGGAACATGTCTATTTTTGGATAATTTTCACAATCACAAGGCAATTCTAAGGATGGCTCCCACTACACCCCCTAAACCAGAATTTCAGAGACTGAGATGATCACTGCATGCAAACCTCCTCATCCAGTAACTTGGTGGACTTTGTCCAAGGACTAAGGGCTCAATTGGGGAGCTGTAACTCCACCGCACGCCGAGGTGCAAGGACAGGTGACACTTTGGGGACCGCAGAAGGGGAGATTTCTAGAGATAATGTTTCAATGTAAGTGGGGCTTAAAGATAAGCAAAGCAGAGAGGTGGAGACCGCTGCTCGGAGGGGTAAGGGTAAGCACACACGAGATAAGCTACTTTGCACCAGCCTCCAAGGCTGTTATTCGACACCATTACCCAGCAGGCCGCCCATGCTCAGGGGGATGGGAGCTGGAGACCTAAGCAAACAGAGATCCTAAGGGCTACGTGATCGGCGGAAGAAGGGACGGGGTGCAAAAATCCACCTTCCTAACCGCAGGGTTGATCGATCGGACCAGTGCCCGTCGTGCAACAACCGGATTTCAGAAAATCAGGCTCACTTAATGAAGGGTTTGCGGGTGTGTGTGGGGGGGGCTTTATCTATAAAGCAGCCCTCCCAGGGGACAGCATGAAAAGACCAAGTGCCCAGACTTTCTGCGCCAGGAAAGCACAGGGAGGCCTGAGCAGCCTCCATTTCCAGAAGGGCGCAGCTGGCCACACCCCGCTCCGCCCCGCCTTGTCCCCCGCGGGCCGGGGAGGCCGCGCCCGGCCCCCACGCCGCCTCGCCCCGCCCGCGCTCACCATGGACAGGTACACGTAGGAGGCGTAGAGCTCCAGGTTGATCTGGCGGTTGATGGCGGCCTCCGAGTCCTGGTGGTAGTTCTGGCGCACCTGCGAGGTGGACGTGGTAGTCATGGCGGCGGCTAGGAGAGGTGCGGTGGCTGCACGGCGCTGGAGCGGTGGCGGTAGCCTTGGGGCGGTCCGAGGACGCTGCGAGGAGGTGGCGACGAGCGTCTGGCTTTGAGCGGCCGGCCGGGATGGGGGTCGAGCGCCGGGTTCCGTTCAAGCACTGTTGAAGCAGGAAACCTCGGCGACTCTTCGGCGAAGAATGTCTGGCGCAGATGGCTGCCCAGCCGCTCTTATAGCGGGAGCTGGCGTCAGATCACGCCCCGACCAATCAGCGCGGCTCGCCACTGGGCCCCGCCCCTTCCGGTGGGCGCCCGCCCGCCAGCGTCTGGACTCGGGCGGGGGCTCAGCGCGGGTGACTGTAGTTGGCAAGTGAGTCAGTGAGAAGTTGGGCACGAAAAGGAGGCGCATTCACTTGTGCAAAGTCTGTGAGCAGGAGCACAAAGGAGAAAAGTGTGTGTGTGTGGTCACCAGCTGTTTTAGCGGCTGCCCGCCCTTCTGTCTGCGGGGACGTGGGCCTCCTTTTCCTGAAAGCAAACATGGCTCCATGTGCAGTTTATGCAAAAAGGCTGGGCGAACGTCCTTCCCGAGGCGGGGACCGCTTCTGTGGGGACTCTTGGGGCTGAGCCACCTGGGTTTCTCAGAAAGCCGGTGGTGGCGCTTAAAATTAAGATGATTGTCTGGGTTAGAAAGAAAGGAGAAGCGACTTAGGTCTGGAAATGAGGCCCATACTGAGCCCATTTCAAAATGGCCTCTTTTTCTCAGCCACCCTTGTTGTCTTTGGAGAGAAGCTGATGGGGCTGAATGCTAGGTGACAGATGTAGGAAACGCTGCAGGGGCAAGGCCACTGTGTGTGGCCTGCAACTGTGTCCCAGGCCGAAGTGGGTGCGAGTTCGTTGGGATCAGAACTGGAGGTGTAGGTCACGCTCCTACCTGGGTTCTGGCTTCCAAGACCACTGTTGTCAATAAGGTCTTTGGAGGTGGGAGACTTAGCAAGACCCCTTTCAGGATACTCAGAAATGTGCAATGGGAGCTGGACTTCCAAACTTGTTTTGGAAAAGCAAAGCTACTAAAATATTAAATTGCTGATAGAATTAAAGCGATTTCTCCTTCCCAGGTCTTTATTCACTTCAAAATAAGCATAACGTATGTTACTTTCAGGGAAAAGATTTTAATAGTGCTACAGCTATGATAAAGCAAGCAGAATGACACTGCTAAGCAAGGGGTGTTCTCCCTAGATTGGGGTAGGAAGTCAGGAAAGGCTTCGCTAAGAGAGTGGTAGCTAAATTTGAAGAAAAAGTTCCTATTGGTACATGAAGTGGGGAGGGAGAGGGGAAAGGGAAGTCCAAGCACAGAGAACAGCATATGCATAGGCACAAAGGTGTGGAAATGTATGACCTGTTCAGGGTATCTTAAAAAAGTATGTTGGCCTGAAGAGTAGAGAATGCTAGAAAGGGTGGAATATAGAGGCAAGGTCAGATAGGGTGGTGGTGCCATAAAAAGTGGTTAAACTTTTTCCTGTAGACAATAAAGAGATACTGCAGTAATTTTGTTTTTAGAACCCTTACCCTGAATCAACAGAAAAACTACTAGGAATCCAGAAGAGTCACTGTATATAGGATGCAAAGCTTTTCTATGTAACAGTAACCATCAGTTAGAAAATGTAATGAAAAACTGAATGACTTGAACTTTTTTGTGTGTGTGTGGTACTGGAGTTTGAACTTAGGGATTCACACTTGCTAGGCATGCACTCTACCAATCAGCCCAGAAAAGATGAATGAAAGAAAAAATTTTTTTTCACTTACACTGGCAACAGAAGCTTAAAGTACCAGTGATAAAGTTAACAAATATAGTAAGTAAACTATAAATGCTTACTCCTGGAATAAAAACAAATCAACTATCATAAGTACAGAGGTACCACCTTCTCTATAGAGTGGCCGGTTTCCATTTTATAAAGATGCCAGTTCTTCACAAAACCTATAAATTCAATGCAGTTTCCATAAAATACAGTTTTCTTGGTAATGGTGATGGTGAACTTGACAAGATGATTCTGAAGTTCATTTGGAAGACTCAGTGGGTAGTATAGCTGATAAATATCTGAGGAAAATAAGTTAGGGATTTGCTTCCTTTCTATAAAAAAAATACAACAAAGTGAGGTAAGGACATAGGAAGAGATGATTAGATCAGTAACATGCATACATACCTGCATACGTATGGGAACTTGGTATTACATTAGTGGTGTTTCAAAATAGGGAAGAAAGAATTAGTTCAACAAATGATGTTGAAACAATTAATAATCATGTGATAAAATACATTATTTAAAAATTTCATCTGGGTGCCTGTGCTCTCACCTGTAATCCTAGCTACTCAAGAGGCAGAAATCAGTAGGATCGAGGTTCGAAGCCAACCTGGGCAAATAGTTCGTGAGACCCTATCTTGATAAAACCCTTCATGAAAATGGGCTGGTGGAGTGGCTCAAGGTTTTGGCCTGAGTTCAGATCCTGGTACCAAAAAGAACCCCAAAACATTCCAGACTAGTTGTAAATCCAAACCTTAAAAAAAAAACCTATAAAGTTTTGAGAACATAATAGAAGATAATCTTTTACAAGTATGGGATAGACTGTCAGAGCCATAAAAGGACAGTGGCATATTTGACCACTTCAAAATAAAAAACACTAAGACATAAGATGGAAACAAAATTAAGGTAGAAATGACAAATTGAGCTGCTGTTATTTGTAGCTTGTGTAAGTGATGGAGATCAATAACCATACATACAAGTATATATTACACACTTTTTTTTTGTAGTGCTGTTTGGAACCCAGGACCTCGCGCATGCTAGGCAAGCCCTCTGCCACTCTATATATTGCCTGGGATGGTCTCAAACTCCTGGGCTCAAGTAATCTCCCAGCTTGAAGCCCTGAGACAGTAGAGTACCACTGCTTCCAGCTATATTTAATACACTTTGAAAATTAAAAAAATAACTTTTTTCTGAGGCAGAGTCTTGCTATGTACCCAGGAGAACCTTGAACTCATGATCCTCTTACCTCAGCCTCTTTATTGCTAGGAGCATGGCATCACGGCACCCAGCTGTTCTGCACATACTAATCACACATTTTTATTAGGGCTATTTGTCTTCCCTATTACTGTAGATTGTGGGCTTCTGGAAGGCAGACATTATTCCTGCCTTTGTTCCTGCATTTCTGGGACTTCCAGCATTTTGCAAGGTGCTTGATACTTGGTGTTTAATACTTGTGGCATGAACAAATGGGTCCTTGATTGAATACGGAGGATGGATTCAAGTCAGGAAAGGTCTGACTTGGGGGCTGAATACCAGTTGGGAAACAACTACCCTAGTAGAGGAGACTGAAATCAGATCTAAGAAGTAACAGAGAAGACAAAACGGACAGGATGAGTTGGCTGGTTGGGTAATGTGGGAGAGGTGGGAGGGGCACAGCTTCCTGACTTGGCTGTGGCAGCTGGATCCCAGAAGAAATGCAGGATTAGGGAAAGTTGTTGGGGAAGGCCAGCTTGGTTTTAGGCTGGGTGTGCTGAGTCTCTGGGCCTCTCTGATGTCCAGGTGGACAGAGCCAGTCTAAAGTTGGACCCACTGGAAGGAAGTCGGTGTGCTATACAAAGCAGGTTTCGTGAATCAGAATTGGCTCCATGCTTGTTACACACATTTGTAGCTGCAGTGAACAGCATGGGAAGAAGAGGGACAGTTTGTGCTGAGGAAGGTCACTGAGGGAGGCCACCTGGGAGGGATATGGAAGGTGGGGTTTTTTCTTTTTTGAGGGGTGTGTGTCTGTTTGTTTGGGTCTGTTCCTACCTTTTGGAAACACTGGGTATTTAGAGTCTTCTGAAGTTGTGGCCTGGTCTTTGGACCTTTATTGATAGGGCTTCTGCCTCCCCACCCCCTCCTGCTGCAGCTCCTTGTGACTTCCAGGAGGTGGGGATTTGGCTGGCCTCCCAGAACAGCAGCCTCCCAGGGCCAAGAGCTATGGGAAGGACTGCAAGCCAGGGAAGAGCAAGACTGGTTGTTTCTGGAGGATTCCAGCTCATTCCAGAGCCGAAGGTGGGGGAGGGGGTTGTGGAGGGCTGCTGCCCCACCATGACTCAGCATTCTGCTGATCTGGAGAGGTTGGGCTTGGGCTCCCAAACTGCTGCGTCATGGAGGGGAAGTCACAAGACGGAGCAGGCTGTGGTTTCACTGCCGGGAGAGGGAGAGAGAGCACTCATTTCCTTGTGGGACAAACACCAGAGGAGACTGGACCAGGAACGAAGGGGTCTTGATCACCCTGCCAGGCCTCAGTGGCGTTTTTGCCAGAAAGGGGGTGTCGTTTCTACCTCAGTGCCTTCCCCCTTCCCTGTGACTTCTCGGTGGATGCTGGGCCCGTCTGTCTTTCTGTTCTTGGGATTGTTGCTCTGTAGTTACAGCTGAGGATTCCACAGCATGATATTCCACATCACAGGCATTTGGAATATTAAGGCTCTGAAGGGACCTTAGCATTTTCCAATCACCATATTTTATAGACACGGGGAGATGAGGCCCAAAAGTCAGGATGGAGAGTCAGTGGCCAAAACCCAAGTGACAATGTAGGACAAGGCACATGGCGGAACACGGTGTGATCGTTAAACATGGTAAACGTGTTGCTGGAACAGTGTGTGAAAAAGCGGAGGCTGAAGTAGCTCCTGCAAGCTGATTACAATGAAGGAAAATCTCAGGGCTGGAAACAGGTTTGGGTGAGAATAATTTGAAGGAAATTTGAATGAAGAGCCAGTGTTGTAAAAGTATGGGATTCCCTGTAAAGTGAAATATGCAGGAAATTAGAACTCAGAAATTCCAAAATTGGAAAAATGCTACTCGGTCAGTTTTGGGTACATTTCTGGATGATGCAACCATGATTCAGAGAGCTTGTCCTGAAATCTTTTTTTTTTTTTTTTTTGTGGTACTGGGATTTGAACTTAGGGCTTTCTGCTTGCCAAGTAAGAAATGGCAAGCCATACCTCTAGCCCTTTTTACTCTGGTTTTAGAGATAGGGTCTCACTTTTTGCCCACCCTGGCCTAGACCACCATCCTATTTTAAGCTTCCCACCATAGCTGGGATGACAGGTATGTACCATTGTGGCCAGCTTTTTTATGTTGAGGTGGGGTCTTGCAGACTTTATTACGCCCCGGGCTGACCTGGAACCTCTGTCTTCCCAATTTCA